CTGAAGAAAATGTCTATTCTTAATTTTTAAAAATAATATAGGAGGGGCGTCTGGGTGGCTCAGTCCGTTAAGCATCTGACTCTTGATTTCGGCTCAGGTCATGATCTCAGAGCTGTGAGATGGAGCCCCATGGCAGGCTCCCTTCTGGGCGTGGAGCCTGCTTGAGATTCTCTCTCTCCCTCTGCCCCTCCCTGCCTCTAAGAAATAAAAAAAATTAATAATAATAGTAATATAGGAATAATTATTGTATTACATGTCTTTTTAGAGGGGAGGCATAAATCACAGACCATAAAATTCAGCTTTTGAAAGCATAAAACTCAGTGATTTATAGTAATTCTCAAAAGCTATGTATCCATCACTGCTATCTGATTCTAGAATGCTTTCCTCACCCGAAGTAGAAACTCCATTCCCATGAGCAAGCACTTACTTCCTATACCTCTTCTTCCCCCAAATTCCTGGCAACCACTAATCTGTTTTTTGTCTCTGTAATAATGTGCCTGTTTGCACATTTCATACGAATAGAATCATGCATTATATAGTATATAGTATACATTATGTAGTATGTATTATTTTTCTGACTCCTTTTCCTTAGCATACTGTTGTCAAAGTTCATCCACACTATAGCATGAATCAGTACTTCATTCCTTTATATGGCTGCAAAATATGCCATTGTATGGATATTGCCATTTTTTTTCTCCATTCATCATTTGATAGTCATGTAGGTAGTTTTTACTTTTTTGTATTAGGTATAGTGTTGCTATAATATTCATGTGCAAGCTTTTGTGTAGACTTAGGTTTTCAATTATCAGAATTGCTGGGTCATATGGTAACTGTATTTTTGACTTTTTGAGGAACTGTCAGAATGCTTTCTAAAGTGGCTGCACCATTTTACATTCCTACAGACTAATAATGTTAAGTATCTTTTCATGTGCTTATTGGTCAGTCCTATATCTTTATTGAGAAATATCTTTTAAATCTTTTGCTCATTTTTTAATTGGAATATTTGTATTTTATTGTTGACTTATAAGAGTTCTTTATATGTTTTGGGTACTAACCCTTTCAGATCTATGATGTGCAAGTATTCTCTCCCATTCTATGGATTGTTTCTCACTTTCTTGATAATGTCCCTTGAACACAAAAATTTTTAATTTTGATGAAGTCCAACTTATATTTTTCTGTTTGCTTGTACTTTTGGTGTCATATCTAAGAGACCACTGGCCTGATCCAACATCGTGGAGGTTTACACCTTTGTCTTCCTATAAGAGTTTTCTAGTTTTAATTGCTACATTTAGGTCTTTTTCATTTTAATTTTTACATATGGTGTGAGGTAGGGATCCAACTTCACTTTCTTGCATATAGATATCCAGTTGTCCCAACACTATTTGCTGAAAAGATTATTCTTTCCCCATTGAATTATCTTGGTGTCCTAGTTGAAAAAATTCCATTAGCTATTATTTTGTGTTTATAAGTGACATTGATATATTCACTTTTTTAGTGCTGTCTTTGTCAGGCATTGTTATCAGGTTTCCATAAGTGTCATATGAGTAGCATCTTTTTCCATGGTTTGGGAAAACAAAAGGTCTAAAGAGGTTCAATATCTAAAATATTTGAGGTCCCTTGCGTCCCCTGGAGGAGTTCTCCTTACCCGCCCTGATACGTATTTGGTGGCAGTCCCAGGTTTCTACAAAGTGATGAGTTTAAACCACAAAAGAATACTGAACTCAGCTGAGTTTAAGCTATATTTAAAGAACAAGTCACTATTGAAGAGCAATTTTATCCCTTCCTCCCCCATCCATGTAGCTTAAGTTATCCTCTACATTAAAAGTTTACTTACCCAAGGTTCCTGTCATCTTTCATTTATTCTGAACGCCCATCATTTCTCCCTGATCTCCAGCTGCTGCTACTTAATCTAAAGAAAATACAACCTGTGGAGTTGACATGTTTGCTTTTCTAAATACCTTGCATCTGTCTTTACATTAAAATTTTCTTCTCTGTGTGATGGTTCAGCAGAGGCTCTGAAACAACACTGCCTGGGTGTGAAGCTTGACTCCGCTATATACCAGCTGCACAGCCTTGGCCTGGTCGTAGCCTACTCACCTATCGAACTAATCATAGGACCCACCTCATTAGATTGTGAAGAGCATTACATGACTGAATATTTACATGGTATTTAGAATGATGCTTGACCCTTAGAATATCAAGGCTACTCTTGTCTTAAAGGCTGAAATTCCAGAGCTTAGATGCCATGCCTCATTTTGTTTCCCTTGCACACTGATTTCTGAATTGACATGTTTTCCTCACTAGTGCTCTACTATTTCTGGCTCAGCTGCCTCCCCTCCCCTTAGATTGTCCTTGGATTCTCCCTGCCTACTAAGCCCCCCTCAAACACCAGAGAGCTCTTCTAAGAAGAGCTTGACAAAGTTGGTCCATTGTCCCACCCCTTTTTCCTTTTGAAGCTCCTCCAGCTCCTTTCACAGTGAATTTAGAAAGTTTGTGAATCTGTGGCATCTTGAAAATGGTGATAAGATACCATCCCCAATGGGGCTGATGTCCCAGTCTAAGATGACTTCATGGCTTCCTGTTACACTGAGGCTAGCAGAGAAAATGCATCCCACATGAGGCTCACATAAGGCACCATGTCCTTAGCTAACCACATACATGTAGATGACTGCATTCCTCATCACATGTAATATGCTTCCAAGCTCCAGATCCTTCTAAATCCCCTCTGGATGTTTCTATCACAAGCTGAGCTTATTAAAAATGGACTCATCCATATCCCAGAAAATCTTCTCCTTTGCTATTCCATTATCTGGAAAAGGCACTAATATTCACCAGCCACCCAGTTGAAAAACCTGGAAGTCATTCTAGACACCTTCCTCTCCCCACCCTCATCAAACGCTAGCCAAAATCTACCATTTCCGTCTCAAATACCTCTTGAACTCATCCTGCCTTCAATGCTTTAACTGCACTCCTTGTTGCCAGCGATGCTCTCTCTCATCTACTCTCAACCCTGCTCACCAGAGTAATCTTTTGCAAACGCAAACCTGACTTGCTTACAATTCCTTAAGAGCTCCTTGCAGGTTTTTTGGGGGGGCAGGTGGATTCAAGTTTTATAATTTTGTCTCCTAAGCCCTACCTGACCTAACTGTCCATCTGAGTGCAACAGAGAACACAAAGATGTTCTTGTCAAGGGCCCATTTCTTGATATCTATTCAGCATGCAGCCTTCTCTCACCTGCTTCACTGTTCTAGGATTTCCCCATTTTTCTTGCATTCTGTCTCCTTCTCTCTACTGATTCATTCTCATTAGCATGTGATCTTGCTCCCTCCCCTATCTTTGTCTTTTTTAGTTTCCTTTTGTCCAGCTACAGCCATAGTTGCTTTCCCTTTTAAACAAAACTTGCCAGCAGCATTGTCTTATGCTTGTCCCCTGTGGTTGGCCTCATGGCCACTACTGGCCTGTGCCCATCTGGCCTCTGCCCCACTCAGCCTGAGACTGCTCCCATCAGAGCCATCAGCAACCTCCATGTGCCAGATGAAAAGAAAAATGTCTTCTCAGCTCACTCCCACTCTCTCCCACATTTAACACTGCACATCCCTCCTCGAAATAATCTTAGTTTTGTTGGCCTTGAAGAAAATTCCCAAGAAAGCAGCCCCTACCCCATTTCTCCTTCCTTCTCAGGCCACACTCTTTCAGTGTAACTCCACCCAGCTCCCTATTTAACCTCATCCACCCACTGTTGTGGTTTTAAATATGGTACCATCCATGTGCTGTTAGCTTTCTAATTTGTTTCCAATCCAGACTTGTCTTCTGAGTTCTAAATGATAAACCACTTCCCACTCAACATTTCTACTTGGATGTGTCATTAGCATTTAGAATTGACCTTGTCCTAACTGACCTCCACCACCACCAGCCTCCCTCGGCACTTAGGTATGTACATCCACATGCAGACACTTGTCCTCATATACACACGTACACATACACTCACACACGCACATTCACGCACACACACAGCCAACCTTCCTCCGAAGTTTCCCATATTAGTTACTATACCACCACCTACCATTTGCTCCTGCTAGGAACCTGCGAGTCTACCTTGACAAGCTCATTTCCCCCACCCCCCACATCCACCCATCCCCAAGTCCTTTGGATCTATTCCCCAAATAGGTCTTGAATACATCCATTCACTCCCTCTTGGCTTGTGACAAGCCTTATGCAAGCCACATTGTCCCTTGTCTGGACTTCCGTTAACAGCCTCTTAAGTCATCTCCCTACTTATTCTTCTTTTGCTACTGTACCAATCCATATTTCACATACAACCAAAATGAGTCTGAAACATGAATCTGATCCTGCTAGTGCTCTCTTTAAAACCATCTGCAAATAGAATGAGGCCTACACTAAGATAGCATGATTGCTGAAGTCCCCTTTGAAAAAGTAACAAAGCTGAAACCTCAGGGATGAGCAAGGGGTCAGCCAAAAGAGCGACAGAGAAGGATATGCACTCCACTTAGAGGAGAGAGTAAGTGCAAAGGCCCTGAGGTATGAAAGCTTGGAGCACAGTGAGTGAAGCAGTGAATGTTATGAAATGGTGATGGAGAAGTTAGCAAAGCCTGGGCCATAGAGGGCCTTGAAGGTTGTAAAACGAGTACTTCCATAGTTATTTCTAAATATGTATATATGGAGTCTATTTTTGCCCCCAGCCGTAAGCTCCACAGGGAACCATCCATGCATGTTCAGTTTGTTTCCCATGCCCAGTACAGTGTCTGGCACATAGCAGGTGCTAAACTTTATGGATCATACGAGGGGAGAAATGTCTCCAGCATTCCAACCAGGCCAAATGGCTGGCAATTGCCCATATATCTTGTGCCATTCCCTCTTCTAAGATCCTCATTTTTGTCTAGCTCAGTGATTGTCAACCAAGGAGCAGTTTTGCCTCCGGGGAGCGTTTGTTAATATCTAGGACATTTTTGATTGTCACAGTTGTAGAGAAGGGGATGCCACTGGCATCTGGTGGGTGGAGGCCAGGGATGCTGCCAAACATCCTCCAATGGAAAGGACAGCCCTCCCTGACACAAAGATAATTATTCAGCCTAAAATGTCAACAGGACTGAGAGTGAGAAGCCCTGGTCCTACTTGTCCTCCAAGCCTTTGTGAACATCACCTCTTTTGGAAACTTGTCCTTCCTCATCAACCACTGTGAGTTTGGGGGCCCTCCGCTGAGCTCCCCAAACCTCTTTTATGTTGATTCATCCCTTTGCCTTGCAATTGCCTCTTCCATCCGCCTCTCACTGGAAAGCTGGGCTATCTGTTTCATCAGCCTAACACAGTGAGCCATCCATGTATTTTCTTGAACGAATGCAGCCCCCTGAGCTGGGGACAGATAGCAGGGTGCAAATGAATTTTGTAACAACATTTTAAAGCATGTAGTTGACCTGTGCACTCATAGGTAGCAAGACTTACCCAGACCCCAGCTCCACCTCTGGGAACCTACCTGTTTCCCGGTGTCTGTGCTGGGGTGTAACCTACAGAAATGGCAATTTCCTGTAGCTCCAACCTAATAGCATGGTTCACTCCTTCTGACAAGGCCTTACATTTTGAGTCACTCAAGTTTAATCCCACTAAAATAAAACCTAGAACTAGGGCATATGGCGGGTTCCTAACAATGAACAATATAGGGCTGACGCTTCATTTGCAGTTGGCTCTCCTTTGAGTCACGACCTGCTTGATCTACCAACAAAAATAGAAATCCCTGCGGCCACAGGCCTGTGGGCTTCAGATCTCGTGCCCATGGTCAGAAACACTTAAAGCCCTCCTCTTTGGATTCAGGTTTTGAAATGGACTCTGGTTGAAAATGCTGTGCCCTTTGGAAGGCTTCTTCCCCTTGCCTTGTCACGGCCCTCGCAGCTCTAGCTCCTGCGGGCTTTCTTCCCCCGGCCCCTGTAGTGCTGGTCCTGCTGGCTGGGGAAGGAGCAACTGAGGTGCCGGAGGTAAGGCCAGGGCTGGGCACATCCCCTCCAGCTCACTGCTTCTGCTGTGGCGAGGGAAGCACCCTGGCGTGCCGCCTTGAACTTTCACTGCCTTCGGAAGGGCGCTGCTCCTCCTCCTGCAGCTCTAGCTCCTGCACTTGGCCCCGGGCCCGCCTTCTCTCCAGCATCTCCTCAAAAAAGATCTGGCAGCTGAAGCCCTCTTGGATGCCATACTGGGCGTGCTTGAGCAGAGCCTCCAACGTGGGGAAGACCCGGCAGCAGGCCACGCAGCGCAGCCCGGAGTTCGTGGTGACCAGCCAGTCCGGGGTGTCCCGCAGCTCCTGCAGGCAGCACTCGAGGGGCCCTAGCAGCTCCGCGTCGTCCTGCTCCGGGCAGCAGGTGTTCTTGCTGGCTTCCAGTTCCCAGCGCAGGTCGGTGTTGGAAGCCATCTCGAAGGAGGAGCCTTTCCTCCTCTGCCTCTTGACGAACGCGGCTTGGTGAAGGCGGGGCTTCCTGCTGACCGGCTCGAAGCCCGTCTCGGTCTCCCAGGCCACGGCCACGCCCCGCACCGTCTGCACGTGGGTGTAGAAGGCGCACGCGCTCTGCTGGGCGGCGGCCTCCTCGTCGCACGGGCAGGAGGGGCAGGACTGGTACTGGGAGTAGGACTGGTACTCGGAGGCGGACTGGGCTGACGGCGAGCTGCTCCAGCTCAGCATCGCCCGAGCCCTGCCGGCCAAGTAGACGTCCTCCTCGTGGGGAACGGCCGGCCCGGGCCGCGGAGACGGCTCCTCTCTCTCTACGGCCCCTGAGAAGTGCAAGGACATTTCATCAGTGCCCCCGCAGGGATCAGCACCGAAACCCACCTTCAGGACTCTGAAAGGGTGCGGGCTTCAAGGTCCCCGGGCAGGTGCCATCCACTCCTGTGGCTGTTTCCTTATAAGATGGGGATGACAGTGCTTACCTCGTGGGATAATGATGAGGATCAAACAATGTATGAATGTAATCGCCAAAAACTTGACGAAACCCAAAATGACCATCTGCTGGTGAATAGACAGATGATGGTACATCCATACCATGCAAGCCTATCCAGTGATAAAAAGGAATGATACCTGCAAAACATGGATGAATCTCTAATGCATATGCTAAATGAAAGCACCTAGGGTAGAAAGGCCATACAGTATAGGATTCCACCTGGATGACATTCTAGAAAAGGTAGAATTATAGGGAGAGAGGAGAGATCAAGGGTTACCAGGAGCTGCGGGGTGGGGGGGGGGGCGGGGGGAGAGATGCGGGGAACTGATTTCCAATGGTCACAAGGGAACCTTTGGGGATGATGAAAATATTCCATATCATGATCGTGGTGGTGGTTACACAAATGCACACTTACTAAAATTCTTCAAATTGTACACTTAAAACTGATGATATTTCTGTATTTAAATTAACAGCTCAATAAAACCAATTTAAAAAGCCATGCATGGGACATGCTTTGGCCAGGCCTTCCAGCCCCGCCATCCCCTTTGCCTTTGTAATGTGTCTCCATCTTACGCAGGGAGCATCTCGCCCTCTCCTTGAACATTCACTGTATTCTGTCATCGTCTAAGTGCTTGCCACGTTTTAACTCCATTAATATTGAAAAAAAAAAACAAAACCCCAAGAAATTACATTGCTGTGATTCCCATTTGACAGATTAGGAAACTGAGGCACAAAGAGCTTAACTGACTGACAAACTGGTATTACCCTTAGGTGCTGTCCATGGTCACCTCATAGTGGTCTTCAAATTGATGTTCTAGATTAAATTTAATCCATTTATTATAAAGGACTTCTTCATATTATTCTGAAATCATAGGATTGACATGCCAATTCTGTTTCTCCAATGTACATTAAAATATATAATGATGGGGCGCCTGGGTGGCTCAGTTGGTTAAGCGACTGCCTTCAGCCCAGGTCATGATCCTGGAGTCCCGCATCGGGCTCCCTGCACAGCAGAGAGTCTGCTTCTCCCTCTGACACTCCCCCCTCTCATGTGCTCTCTCTCTCTCTCATTCTCTCTCTTTCAAATAAATAAATAAATAATCTTTAAAAATATATATATACATAATGATGAATGTCTTACAGTTTCATCCTCATACCTTCTGAAATTACCTCATGTACTCACAATGGCCTCAGGCATACCCACCATCCATCTTTATGGCCAATACAACATTTTGGTAACAGCACCGAGGGGTGACCCCGTGCCCACTCCTCACCCTCCAGGACCTCCCTCCCAAGGAACACACCTGGCAGCACCTTCCCGCCCTTTCTTCTGACCTACCTGACCAGCATACTTCCACCCTCTCTTCTGTGGACTCCGGGCTGGCCAAGCTGAGGCTGGCCCCATCTGTGGGTGACTGTTCTCCCCTATAGTCTGTGAAGTGGCGTTTCATGATTGGACACCAGCACCAGGGCACTCAGTGCTCCAGCTGTTCGGTGAGAGTTGGCTTGGGCTCTGCTGAAGCCCTCCACTGGCCCCAGCCCGAGTGGCTGCTGGGCTCCCTGTGGTCGCTAGGATCCTGGCTTTATTCTGTGACCTCATCAATGACACTGGCCTGTTCTGTGACCCAGGGCAAGGACTGAGACCCAGCCTGGAGGCCGGGAGAGGCTTCCCATCAGGATCTCATTTCCGCGTGGGGACCTTTCCTGCCTTGTTTATTGGCAGGGACACAAACACAAAACACAAACACACACACATATAAACACTTGTACACACAGAGAGACACAAACACCTAAACAGACCCACAAAGACGCTTACACACATATAAGCACACGCATCCTCACACTGACAATCACTCAGACGCACGTACACTCCAACATACATAAACACACACATTTAAACACACAAACGCATACATACCCATTCATACACATACAAACTAACACACACATACACCCAGATTCACACACATATTCACCTAACAACACACATATGTTCACACGTGCATATGCACTAATTCACACCACATTCACTTAACTACACACATGTTCACATACACACTGTCATCGCCCAACATCAGAATGGGCCGACCTCATCCTGAGGAAATAGCAGATGACTGAGAATCTTACCTCCTCCTCAGTTTCCCACCCCTGCCTCATTTAGACCTCTTGGCCCTCCATGGCCTAGGTCCCCAGGCACCAGGGACACCCCACCTCAGAGCCTTTGCAGGTGCCCTTCTACCCGGCACAGCTCCTCTAGGTTGTGGTGCCTCACTCTCTCAGGCCGGTCTGCTGAAACAGCAGCTGTCCGCCCTCCATCTCTCCCCCTTACCCTGCTTTAGTTTTTGCCTTCAGCACTTTCATATATTTGCACATATGCATAATGGGTTTATCTGTATTCATCTCTGTTCTTAAAGGTAAGCTCCATGAGGAAGAGAGTCCATTCAATTTTCCTCTATCACATCCCTAGCATCCAGAATAATGTTTGACACATGAACGAGCTTTCTAGAAATAATCGTCAAATCAATGAATAACCAAACAATACGCCGGAGCTGCTGATGGTATTTGTCAAGGGAGTGCTGACCTAGCAGAGCTGCCTTCTCTCCGCATCTCGATTCTCTGCTGCCCCGAGGCAGGATGGTTCTCACCCCATGACTCTGGGTCCCCTCCATTCTCCACCTGTGCAAACCCCAGTCCAGATACAGTCACTCTGGGGCACGCCTTCCCATCTGCCACCTCTCTGCTCCTGGAGGTCCTCATGTTGGAACATACTTCCTTCAAAATATTTCTCTCCATTTCCCTCCCACCTCTGCTCAGTGTCACTAGCTCTATTCCTCAGCATCCCCAAATCTAAACAGCTCAAAAAAGTAATGGATTGGAAATAATCCCTATATCCCAAAAGTAACCCAAACACCACCCACACAGCCCGCACCTAGGAAAGGCCACTGCGTGAAGGAGAACAGCACAGAGTTTTATGGAGTGATGAGAAGTCACACTTGCACCTACAAAGAGACAATGTTCCCTGGTAGAAAGAGGAAATACTGTAATTGTGCTCTCTCTTACCAAATAAATCCAGAGGCTCGCCTTATAAAAATAAGGGGGTACCAGCACAAAAAAATAAGTAGATCAATGGAAGATAAAAATAGTCCAGAACAAGATCACATTATATATTTGAGTTTTCCTAAGATTTTATTTATTTATTAAAGAGTGAGAGAGCGAGCATGCGTGAGCAGGGGGAGGGACAGAGGGAGAGGGAGAGAGAGAATCTCCAGCAGACTCTCCCCGCTGAGCTTGGAGCTCAACTCGGGGCTCGATCCCATGACCCTGAGATCGTGACTTGAGCCGAAATCAAGAGTGGGACTCTTAACCAACTGGGCCACCCAAGAGCCCCTATATATTTGAATTTTAAGAGATAAAGCAAAAAACAAAAGCCAGGGAGGAAAAGAAGACTCAGTCAATAAGTGATGCTGAAAATTTTTACTTGCTATTTTTTTTTTAAACCACCATCGGTCTCACCCCATACAAAACAACTAGGAATCTTTTCATATGGTGCTAGGGTTGTGTTTTAATTAAAAGTGTGTAGAAAGAAAATATAAGTTAACACCCTAATTATAGGGTAGTTTTTCTGAACTTAAATGATATCAATCATCACAAGCATCGGGAATCCTTGTCATCTTTTTTTATCTTCATTGCTTAAAAAGACCTCATTGTTTCAATTTGCATTTCTCTGCTTTTTAGTGAAACTGCAATGAACAGCTCAGTGAAGGAAATGAACAAGCAATTCCCAGGAGAAAGAATGCAGATGGCTGAGAAACAGATGAGATGTTCAGCCCAACTCAACCTAACTATAATGAGGAAACTACAAATTAAAAACACATGATGTGCAGTGTATTGCGTTTGCCCCTAAGACAGGCAAGAATGAAAAAGACTGACAGTTCTCTGGGATAGTGAGGGTGTAAGGAAGTGAACACTCTTAAACTCTCCTGCTAACTGTGTACCTGCCTTTCTCCAAGGAAACTGGATAGCATCCATTGCAATTAAAAATGGCGTGTTCTTTCACTGAGCCTTTTTCTCATCCATCTCTTTCCTGGGAAACGTTCACATTTTGTGCTATGTGCTTGAAATAATAACTAGAGAAATATTTATTGCAGTATTATTTATAAGAGAAAAACAAGGAAACATTTCAAAGATCCATCAAAAGAAAAAAAAATAGTTACATAAATTACACCATAACCAAACTGTGGAATACTATACTACAATAAAAAAGAGAGCTCTACATGTGCTAATAAGTGAATTCATGTGAAGTGCAGAAAACAAAATGCAAGAGAATTCCACTTACGTGAAAATTAAACATGCCACCCCCTCCCACAAAAGCCCCAAACCAAGTCTTTGTTATCTATGCATGCAAAGGCGTAGAGGACATCTGAAGATAATCACATGCCCCTGGGAATGGTGGTGACCTTGGGAAGAGGAAGAGAGATTAGATGGGGCTGTAGGAGATTATATTTCCCAGAGAAGGCCACTCCTCTGGTGTATCTCCCATCCCACGTGCTCTTCTTACCACATGAAGTCAACACTGCTCCATGGAGAAAGGGGCTCCCTCTTCCGGAAGGAGGGTGGACTTTGTAGCCACCCCCACCACTAGGAGGCAGGGAGCGATGCTTCCAGACTTTCAAGGCTGGATCATAAAAGACAATAGGAATTCCTCTTGGTTCTCTCTCTCGGTCTCTCTGTTTCTCTTTCTACTTTCCTTTGGACTCAGCCACCATGTTGTGAGGAAGCCCAGGCCACATGGAGGTGTTCCAGCCAACCGCCCTGACAAAGGTGCCATCCAACTAGCAATGTGTGAGTGATTGAACCTTCGGATGATTCTGCCATCTAGCCTTTGAAATTTTCCAGCTGGGTCCCCACACATCTCAGAGCAGATGCTAGCCATCCCCTCCGAATCCAGCCATCAGCCCTGCCTAAATTCCTGACCCTCAGAAATGGTGAGCATAGTAAAAGATCCATCTTCTACAAGGTTTGGGGGCAATATGTTATGGGGCCATCATAATTCAACAGACTTTGATTTTTACCTGTAATGTTTAAATATGTTCTAGTTCCAACAGCTCATTGACCAGCATCTATAGGGTAATGTACTGTCCTGGTGGAGCACTATGGTTCTCCAAAGACAACTTGGGAGTCTGTCTCCCACCACCCATCATTCATTCTAGTCTTTGTTTACTCCCAGGATTCACATACAACAGTTTCAGAGTAGTTAACCTG